TCACGTCGGCCTCGCTTGCCAGCACCCTGGGCTCGGATGCTACTGCTACTGCTGCCACCATTGCGATCAGCCAGGAGAAGGAGGCCGTTGAACTCAGCTTCAGGCAGGCGCTGGTTGCCAGCAGCGAGGCTGTGCTGACACTCGAGTTTACGGGTGTGCTTAACGACCTAATGCTTGGGTTCTACCGCTCCCGGTACACTGACAGTCAGGGCAACACCAAGAACATGGCCTCAACCCACTTTGAGCCCGTCAGTGCCCGCTACGCCTTCCCGTGCTTTGACGAGCCGTTGCTCAAGGCCACCTTCGCCATTACGCTGCGCATCAAGGACGATCTGACAGCGCTGTCGAACATGGATGTGCGCGAGACCAAGCAGGTCGGTGGCGGCCTGAAGGAGGTTGCGTTCAACACCACGCCGGTCATGTCGACGTACCTTGTCGCATTTGTCGTTGGTGAGTTTGACTATGTTGAGGGCCATACCAGCGGCGAGCATAACGGCCGTCCAATTCCGTGCCGCGTCTATACGTCCCCAGGCAAGGGCGAGCAGGGTCGGTTTGCGCTCGACGTGATGATCAAAGTGCTGGAATACTTCGCCGATGTGTTTGGCATTCCTTATCCACTGCCCAAAATGGACCAGATCGCGATCAACGAGTTCCAGATTGGAGCCATGGAAAACTGGGGTCTGATCACGTACCGCGAGGTCGCTCTCCTGGTCGACGAGGCCACTACTAGCTCTGCTGCTAAGCAGCAGGTCGCCTACGTTGTCAGCCACGAGCTGGCGCACCAGTGGTTCGGCAATCTGGTCACTATGGAGTGGTGGAGCGACTTGTGGCTCAAGGAGGGGTTTGCTACTTGGGTTGGAACCTTGGCCGTGGACCAGTTCTTCCCCGAGTACCATGTCTGGACCGATTTTGTCATCGATGACTACCAGCGTGCGCTGAACCTCGACGCCATGCGCTCGTCACATCCAATTCAGGTGCCGGTCAAGCGCTCGTCGGACATCAGCCAGATCTTTGATGCCATCTCGTACTCAAAGGGCGCCAGCGCGATCCGCATGCTTAGCTCGTACATTGGCCTAGACAGCTTCTTTGCTGGACTGCGCGTGTACCTGCAGAAGCACAAGTACGCTAATGCCGAGACTGTTGATCTGTGGAATGCGCTGAGCGAGTCGTCGGGCCAGGACGTGGGCCAATTCATGGACCTGTGGACCCTGACCACCGGCTATCCGATCCTGACCGTGTCTGAGTCCGACGACAGGTCTCAGATCGTTGTGCGCCAAAGCCGCTACCTATCCTCAGGCGAGGCTGCTGCTGATGAGGACAAGACCCAGTGGTGGGTCCCGCTGCGGATCACGACATCCGAGTCTGCTGATGCCCCTACCGGCGATGTGCTGACTCAGCGCGAGTCAACAATCGCTCTTCCGTCATCGGGTGCCGAATGGTACAAGCTTAACAAGGACACAGTTGGCATCTACCGCGTCAACTATCCGGCGGGAGCTATTGCCAACCTGGCCAAGGCCATTGCTGCCGGTGGTCAGCTGTCGACCAGTGATCGCATCGGCATCATTGCTGACGCCGCAGCCCTTGCTGCTAGCGGGCACAGCCGTACCTCAGAATTCCTGACCCTGCTCAAGGCATGCCAGAACGAGTCTGAGTACCTGGTGTGGGGCGAAATCGCGGCCCGCTTCGCCAAGTTCCAGTCGGCGTGGGCCACTGAGACAGCCGATATCCAGAGCCAGATCAACGCGATGTGCCTGCAGCTGTTCGGCTCGGTCATTGAGCGCCTGGGCTGGGAGATGACCGAAGATGGCCTGGCTAACCGCCTGCGTGCTCTGTCTGTGCGCATGGCCGGGCTGGCCGGTGACGACAAGGTCGTTGCCGAGGCGCACCGTCGTCTGAACGAGTATCTTGCTGGAAACAAGCAGGCACTGGGCAGCGACATGCTGCGCCCAGTGCTGGCCGTTGTGGTACGTACAGGTACGCGCTCTGACTACGAAAAGGTCAAGCAGTTCTACCTTGACGCCTCCAAGACTGTCGACCAGCGCCTGGCTGCTCTGTCTGCACTTGGCCAGACCTCGGACTCGGAGCTTCTGGACGATGCCCTGGCCTTCACTCTGACCGACGATGTGCGCCGCCAGGACTCACACCTCATTGTATTCTCGGTGTCAGGCAACCCACATGGCGGCGACAAGGTGTGGGCGTGGTTCAAGGACAACTACGACACGCTTTACAGCCGCTACTCGGTCTCGACCCGCCACTTAGGCAGCCTGGTTGAGTTCTCCACCAACCACTTTATCGGCGCTGACAAGGCAGAGGAGGTCGAGCAGTTCTTTGCTAGCAAGACAACTGCTACATACAGCCGTTCGGTCGAGCAGACCATCGAGACCATCAAGGCCAACACCAAGTGGTTCGAGACCGATCGTGCAAATGTCAAGCAGTGGTTCACGCAGTAATTGTTTATTTAGCTTCTTTGCTGGACGGTGTCTGCCTGTGGTAGCTCTTGCGGCTTCCACTATGGCCTCCCGTAGGGTGCCTGTCGTGGTATTTGGAAGAGTTGGGGCTGGAGTCTTATTCTACATGACAGCCAATGCAAACATTTCCGTGCGCAACCTTCCATTGCACTCTCGTGGAAATGCTGTCAAGGCACCTGCACATGTCATAGCTGATGGCGCGGTGTGTCCATTGGCCTCCATCGGGGCTAGGGGTGGACGGTCCTACTTTCCATTCGTATTCACGCAGGCTGATGCCAAGTAGCTTTTCGTAGAACGCCAGCCCAATACAGAGCAGCCTATCCCCAGGAATCGGTGCCTGATCAGGGTACCGCGGCATTGCGTGGACAGACGCCTGGAGGTACTCGTTAGATATGTGCATCAGGTTCTTTTGCTTCTGCGCAGGTGACTTAGCGGTCTTCAGCTGGTTCTCCACATACCGGGCCATGTGTTTTTTCTGAGATGGGTGTGCCGCCTGCATTACGACAAACGTGCTGGAACGTGCTGCACCATTCAGTGTAAAGCAAAATGTGCCTCGGTTATTCCCAGATGGCTCGCTTGTGACAAGCATCTTGATACCAGCTAGATACAGCGGATGGGTCAGACACTGCACAAGCGAGATTGGAAACTTTGGCATCGGGGTCTTGCCATAGGGGGTTAGATAGTAAGCGCTGTCAGCTATCGCTGCGCCAAATGTGAACGCGCTGTTGCTCGTAATTCCGACATACTCTACATACCATTCCATGTACGAGCTAGTTGTTGCAAACCCGTATTGGCCACAGTTCAACAGCACCAGCATCTGCAGAAATGCGTCAGGCGTGCAGATCCGCACCGCGTGCCGAGCTCGAGGAACCAGCGATCCGACCGAGAGCAGAATCCCCAGCATCTCGAGCGTCGAGACTTGATATCTGTGCCGCGGCAGATCAACCGATGATGCCACGAGCTTGGCAGCCATGTCCCGGAACTCTGTGGACCATGTGGCTACAGGCGTGTTTCTAGTACAGCTATTCTGGTGTGCAATCGCCTCCTGGATCGTCTTGTATGTGCCCGACGCCAGTGCCTGCTTGATGTGGAAGTCGCGGCTGAGGTACGCCCTAAGCACCAGCTTCGCAAACCGATCAAACAGACGTTTATCGGTGATGTTTCGCGAAACTATGAAGCTCAGTTCGTCAGTGTGCTCGGGCCACATAAAATAGTCGAGGCGGACCAGGTTAGCAGGCACAACTGCAGGCTCTTTCCGTACGCCCTGCAGCAGCCTCAGGAAGCAGTATATGTTTGAGATACGCTCGTCCTTTACATCACCAACTTGGTTACCGAATCGGTGGTGGCAGACCCACATCAAATCACTTTTAACCTTGTCAGTCGGGCAGGCACCGCTCACATTTCCTTTGCTCCAATCCTCGTCGACGAATCTGGAAATAATGTGCTCGGCGCTGTCAATCGACAGGCCCGTGGCATTGGCAAACATGTCGCTCGCCTGCCTCCGATCAGCGACGCGAAATCGCTTGGACACGTCGTGGATTCCAGCTATGATTCTGGTGCCGATGACCTCGTCCTGGGCCATCAGCCGCTGATACAGCCTCTCGTACACCGACAGTATTGCGTTCTGCTCGTCTAGCGACATGCAGGACGAAAATACATGCGCAAATGGTACGTCGAACCCGTCAATGAGCACCACAATCTTTTTACCACCAAAGCACCTTGCTAGCAAATGGACCAGCCGGTCAATGAACGTCACAAACAGGCTGGTGTCGCTCACCTCCCCGCTCTCCAATATATTGAACTCTGTACGCAGCTGCTCCAGATCAGCGTGAGCCGCCGTCATAAACTCCTCTGTGATCCCGCTGTATATCTGGTATCGCTGCTCGCAGGTAAGCTCGCTGCTGAACACCTTCATATACTGCTTCGCAGCATCCACGATTGCACTGGCCACGATTGACATGGCGCTTTGCACTGAACGCGGTTTGCCGCGTGAGACGTCAAGCAACAGAACCGGGTGCTGTGCAAAGTGCTTCTTGAAGTATCGCGGCGCCTTCTCGCAAATCGCGTATGGCTTGAATCTGCTCTGGCGCTCCTTGCGGTCCATGGGCGCAACAGCTGCGGAAAAGTTGCGCAGCAGCGACAAAAACACCGACTTTCCCGAGCCGCTTGGCGCCGTCCACACTAGCAACTGGTCGTTCGTGGAACTCAGCACTTCACGAATCGCCAGTGTGTTGTCCAAGTGAATCTGACCCGTTTCCCAGAACCCGTCCCACGAGCTGGCAATTACTTCGAGCGACGTGCCATGAACGTGGTTCTGTGGGTCACTGTGGACTTCGAGCTGCGGCAGCTGGAGCAGATCGGGGACCAACACGCGCGTCAGCATGTCAATACCCATGTCTGACATCAGTGGTGGCAGCAGGAATGCCGTGCTGCTGTCTATCCGCCCATCAGAGGCTTTGGCAGCGGCGGCGCAGCCAGTGCGCTGGCGCTTGTGCTGGCGAATTTCTATAGCTGGATCTTCATCGTCTTCGGCCTCACGCTTCGTTGCTGGCTGCTGCTCGCTTTGTTGTATTGCCTGCGACAGCAGGGCCACCAAGTCCTCAGTGCTCACCGCAGGGGGGTCCTCCTGAGCAACGATGGCAGTGCTGGTTGAGTACCGCTCTACAAATGCTTTCGAGCTGCTCCAGGGTCATGCTGTCGTCTGTCCCTGTCAATGTCATTGCTGCGAATTGAGGAAGCCTGTGAGAATAAATATTTGCAAGGAAAAAATACTGCGAAAGAAAAAAATAAGAGGGCGCTCGTAAAAAAATTTTGGTGAGCGAAGCGGGTATCAACACAACGATAAAATACTTCATCACTTGAGGGGACCAGCAAACCACCTATGTGCAGTCTACTGGTCGCCAGCGGACGATTGCTGCGACTGCTGCTGAGGTGGCTGCGGCTGCTGAGCAGCACCAAACGGATAGAACGGTATTGCCGACGACGCTGCTGCTGGCTGCTGCTGCTGCTGGAAGTCCATGGCTCCACCGTAGAAACCCGCAGGCGGCACACCACCCGCACCCATTTGCTGCTGCTGCTGCTGCTGCTGCTGCTGCTGGTAATAGGCAGCTAGGAGGCTCTCTTGTTGCTGGGCAGTCGGTGCAACCATGCCACCAAAACCAGCTGGTGGAGGAACCACGCTACCGCCCATCGGATTCATCAGCGACGCGGCCGGGAAGCTCATTGCTGCTGTGGACGGGTTGCCAGCAGCACCATTCCCCTGCTGCATGTACGGGTATCCCAGCGTGGCTGGCGGCATGTCCTGAGATACCGAGTTCGAGGCGCGATGGGAGGCGGGTGGCAGCGTGGTGGGTAGTTTCGGTTGCGAGTGGGCTAGCACCGAAGCGACAGTATCAGCAAGACGCTGCGACGGGGGCACATTCGAGTTGCGGCCATGGCTGTTGATGGGGGACACCGACGACATCTCGCCGGCAGCGCCGCTGCCGCGACCACCGCTGCCACCTGTCTGCTGCTGGGCCTGAGCACTGCTGATTGAGTACTCGGAAGTCAAGAACCGCAGGCGATCGGCAATGCGGGCCTTCTCAGCCTCGCCGATAGCCCGTGCCCTGTAGGATCTTCAGAATAACGTGCACGCCATGGGCCTGGTCCAGAACAACATCGTCCAAGACCGATGGGTCCGGGTTTGAAGAAAAGCGTGTTCAAGATCAGATCACGCGCATCGGGCTCCATGGTCTGGTCAACGATCTTGGAAATTGTCGAGGCGCCAAGCTTGTGCGTGGCCAGATAGCGCAGGTGTGGTGCGAGCTGGTGTGCCAGCACACGGAAGCGGCCAGTGAACTTTGACGAGTCCAGCAGCCAGTTGACCAGCAGGTGCCCGTTGACATTGGTGGCCAGCGACACGGCATTAGTGACCAGGGCAACCTGCGGCCAGCTTCTGCTGCAGCTTCGAGGCGTGCGGCGACTCGAGGCAGGTGCGGATGGCACGCGCACCGAAGCGGCCCTGCGCGATATCCCAGCACCGGGCATGGATCGCATCAAACACAAACTGGTTCGAGGCTGCACGGGCCAGGTGGATCTTTGACTGATCGACGTTGCTGGCAGACGTAGAGCTGTTCTCCCTGGTCTTGGCGTCGCTCGAGGCCTCCTCAGACTCGTACTTGCTGGGGCCAAACCGCAGACAGCACTGGACGACGTAGTTGCCAAGCTGGTCCTAGCAGCAGCTGGGGCGTGTACTGCTTGATGTTCTCGACAATCACCCGCTTCTGGTCGTCGTTGGTTGCAGTGTCAATGATCTTCTGCACGGCCCACGTACCGTTCTTGTGGACGCCGATAGAGGCCATGTACGGGCCGACCCGCTTGACCAGCGCCAGCTTCTGCACCTGGTCGCCACGCTCGGCCATTTTCTGCACCAGCACGTTTCCGACATAGTCTGTACACAACTCGACAGCGCTGGGGAGCAGCTCGTTGAAGATCTGGTCAAACTCAGCCTTGGGGATCGGGCTGGACGACATCTCCAGTATTTTGCGGATTTCGCGCAGACGCGACTGCTCGATGACAGGCATCCGGCCATCGCCAACACCGACACTGGCAGCGCGGGAGTTGGCAGCACTGGCACCGGCAGAGGACGACTCGTGGTCGGAGCGGATGCTGACCTTGGGCTCGGGAAGAGCCGGCAGCTGAGTTGCATAGGGGAAGGCGACGAGGTTCTCGTCGATGGCTAGCGTAAAGCCAGGCTCCAAGACCATGTTGTTACCCAGGCCGCGCTGCGTGGTGCCAGTGATCGCATCAGCCTCAGCAATCTGGCCCGATACAGTGAGGGGGCAGCGCTGGGCACAGGGTTGCGCAGCTTGAGCGAAGACTCGTTCTTGGCCGCCGGCACCTTGGCGTAGCCAATGCGCACGACCGACCCGTCGATGCTCTTGCCGTTCATCGCCTGCTTGGCACGCACGGCATCCTCGAGCCGGATGAAGTTGACGAATCCGCAGTTCTTGTGGCTTCAGGACACGCGCCGATTCGATGAGTTCCGTACGCCTGGAAGGTAGTACTCAGCGAGTCGGGCGTCGTCGCCTGCGCAATGTTTCCGATCCACAGCGCACGCGTCGGCTGCATCGCCTGGGCGTCACCTGTCGCATAAGACTCGCCCTTGCCGAAGCCGACACGGACCGTGTTGTTGCCAATGCGAGTGCCGTTGTGCATGTCATCCTTGGCGCGGATCGCGTCCTCGACACGCAAAAAATTGACAAAGGCACACTCCTTGTCGGGCAGCAGGCGCAGGCTCTCGACGCGCCCGTACTTGCCAAAGATCGCAATCAAGTCTTGTGTGTTGAGGCCGGGGTCGACATTGCCCACCCAGAGAGACCGCGTCGGCACGTTGTCCAGAATTGGCGCCAGTGCCGCTGTGAAGCATGGCCATGTCAAAGTCGAGCGAGTGCTGGCGTGTGTGCATCGATGCCTGGCGCGAATGCGACGCTGACGGAGCGCCGCGCTGAGCAAGCCCAGTGATGCTGCCTGAGCGTCCAAATCCACGCACGCTTTCGCCGCCAATTCCGATATGAACCGTGGAGCCAGCGCCGTCCTGGTTCGAACCATCTGAAGAGTTCTTTGAGTGTCCGCCGCCGGCCATCATCATCGCCAGCGAATCGCCGCTGCCACCCGCAATAGCAGTGCCCCCAACACCAAGCGAAATTGACGAGTTGGTTCCTGTACGACGGTGCTGGCTGGTGGTGGAGCTGCTGCTGCTCCTGGAGGAAGGCGTTGCTCTGATTGCGCATGTGCAGCGGCAGGCCGTACCGCTGCTGCTGTGTCTGCTGGAAGCCTAGAGCGTAGTCCAGATCGCTCTCGCCGCCGAACGGGTTGGCCAGGGTTTTGGACCGGGCGTGCGTGCGGGCCATCATTTTGCGGAAGGCTAGAGCAGGGTTCTGCGAGGTAGCTGCTGCGTGAGCACATCAATGTCGGCATCGTCGGCCTCCTCGATTCCGTCGGGCGGGCTGTTGAAACTGTACGAGCGGATGCGCGAGTTGGCATCCGCAACCTCAGCTGCGGTCAGCTCACGTGCAAACGAGTCATCCATGGCATTGCTGTTACCGGTGATGCTGCCGTCGTGGAGTGACAGCAGATCGAGCTCGTTGGACAGGCGCGAGGGTCCCCAGACGCTGGACTCGTCTAGTGCTGGCACAAAGTCAAACGAGCCGTTGCCAATAGGACGACGCCGAGACATCGCGATCCTGTGACAGCGGCGATGGCGAGCTGCGGCGGGCAAACGCCGAGTGCAGCGAGTTGGACTGAGTACGAGTTTCGCAGCGACGAGGCGAGCAGGTTGGCGTTGGCCAAGTTGGCTGGGATGCCTAGGTACAAGGTTGGAGCTCGAGGTGCCTGACAGCGAGTTGAGCCGCGAGTGGGCGCCTAGAATACCCGACGCGTTGGTGGGAAGCGGGTGCTTGAGCAGACTGCTGCCGCCGCTGCCGCCGGCGGTACGACCAAACCCTGGCGGCGATGCAGTCAGGGTGTGGGCCCGGACATGCTGGCCAGTGCTGGCGCCCGCTCCGGAGACGCTGGGCGGGGTAGCTGACGAAGCCACCGGGCGCATGATGCCGTCGGGCTGGGACTGGAGAGAGAAGGGCGAAGTCGACTGGAGCCCCACGCCGCCAGTGGTGGAGGTCAAGGTGAAGTGGCGCTGGTGCGATAGCGGGTTGGTTGCGGGGATCCCACTGCCAATCACACCGGTGCCTAGATCACCCGCGCCGCCGCCGGTAGCCGAGCGGCCATGGCCAAAGCGCGAGCGCTGGGCGGCCACCGATGAATGGGGAGGCAGCCACTGCTGGTGGAGCTGTTTCTCCTCGTTAAGCGTGTCGAGCAGTGATGTGCCGTAGCTCGCAGTGCGGCTGTGCGTACGACTGTGCGCTCCACCCCCGCCCTGCATTGCCTGCTGCAGATGAGACGTGCGATGCAGCTCCCAGCCGTCCAGCGTCGAGATTGCCTGTCGCCCGAGGTCCGTTGGCCGGCAGCCGGCCAAACACACCGGCATTGCTGCCTAGCGATGCCTGTTGCTGCTGCTGGCGAGATTCCTCCCGTGCTCGTGGGTGGCGTTAGTACGCGGGCACTGTCGGCCTTGTCGCCGTCGAGTGATGCGCCTGCCCCAGCAATGCCGGCAGCAGCAGGCTGCAGCAGCAGCGGCGGCAGGCTGCGGCGTTGTTGCTGCTATTCATGTCGAAAAGGGGCTGGAGACCGGCAGGGAGCTGTTGGTTCTTTGCATTGCTAGAAGCGTCTGGATTCATGCTATTATCGGGTGAGCCTGTACCAGTAGGGCAATAGTGGTGGTGGTGGCTAAGATAGGCTGCTGGTGCGTGTGTTTGTGCGTGTGTATCACCCGTAGGAAGGAGGAAAAATATAGGGGTGCGAAAAGGGATATCTAATAAACGGTGGCGGAGGAGGGGTATTAGCAAATATTAGTATCTAGCAGAGTGATTAACAGAGTGCAGAAAGACCGAGCCCGACTGTGAAGGAAGAGAAGAAGCAGGCAGGAGGATGGGACGAGCCCAGCCGCTGTTATAAGGCAGCCAGGCCCGCAAGCTTCGCGGCAAGGGGTTAGAAAGACCGCCACAAAGAAAAATTTGCTACACCCCCGCTCCCCCCCCGAACCGCAAAAATCCCCCGTTTCCAGCTGATATGCCGAGCATATGCCAGCTTATCCCTACTTTTTCCAGGCTGGCATGTGGAGAAGCAACTAACCAACAAGTTTTAGGGCGTGGAGACCGCTTCTATATTGCACGACGGAGGGAAGGCCCGCTGTTCTTTTTTGGCCGATTGAGCACTAGACTCGGTGCGTGCGGAGGGAGAAGAATCGGGCATGTGGAGAACGAGATCTGTCTCCGCCATACCAAGATGTGGGTTCTTTGCTCGTCCGGATGCACACTACTGGCCAAACGCCGGCGCAGATGCGAGCGGGGGGGGCAAACGGGGAGACTGCTGATACGTGGCGGGATAGTAGGCTTACCTTTGCAAGAGTTCTCTTTCTTCTAGGCGTGTAGGGCGTGTATTTACGTATTTTTACAGCTAATGAGGGGGTAGAATGAAACGGTAATAGCTAAAATGTGACTGAAATAAGAAAAGAAGAAAATGAGAGTTAAAAAAGAACAGAAAATGGCATTTGGAGAGGAGAGCGAATTTAGATTGCCCAAATTCGATGAACAGGGCCTCGGGGCAAGGTTTTAAAGCGCTGGCAGGCGAGGAGCCGGAAAAATTGAGGGGGTGCTCGCACGTGATTCGCTGGCGCAATGCTTGGCGACACAGCAGCGGTTTCGTCATCAGCCGGGCAGGCTGCTGCCGGTGATGGCGGCCGGGGACGGCAGGCGCTCTCTTTCTCACCAACAAGTCTACTATAGAATTTTCCCTTTTAGCTCTCATGGCTCTCGCACCGACTTACGCTGCCCACCGCCTGCTGCCTGCCGCTGCTGGCGCGCATACGCTCGAGGTGTTTCTTGACTATACCTGTCCGTTCTCGGCCAAGATCTGGCGCAGGCTGACCAAGGACGTTATCCCGTATCTTGCCTCCGCTGAGCCCAAGGTCGCAGTGGTGTTCCGGCACCAGGTGCAGCCATGGCACCCAGCCTCAACGCTGCTGCACGAGGCAAGCCTGGCGGTCGAGAAGATCAACCCCTCGGCCTTTTCGCTCTACTCGACCGCGCTCTTTGAGCACCAGCACGAGTTCTTCGATGAGGCTACTGTCGACATGACGCGCTCAGACATGTACAGAGGCTGCTCAGCTTGCTGCCAGCGTCAACGCCGTCGATGACACGTTGGCGGTGCTGCAGCTGCTTGACATCCAGGCCGGCGAGCCCAAGAATGGGGGCAACGCCGTAACCAACGACCTAAAGTACCACATAAAGCTGGCCCGGGCGCAGGGAATCCACGTCTCGCCCACTGTGGTGTTTGACGGGATCCGCGACGACGGCGTGTCCAGCTCGTGGACCCTGGAGCAGTGGAAGGCCTGGCTTGCGCCTAGGCTCTGAGGGAAGCGCTTGGAAGCTTTTGCCCATGATTTCCTGGCCGCTAGCTCTGGCGCTGATCGATTGGCCAAACATCACAGCCAGGTGCAGGCGTGATAATGCGGGCTGATAA